GCTGGGTGTCGTTCTCTTTGCTCTCAGTATCTCATGGATACAAAATGTAATGTTGTTAGGTAGGTATTCTTCACATTCTCTTAAATTTTTAAAGGCTTCTTCTTCTGCTTCATCAAATCGTCCATGTTTTTAATGATGATGATGTATGGAGATGGATTTTATGAGAAACTCGAAAATGAATAACATAAAATTTAAGCATTCCCCTGGCGGTGTGGACGTGCGTATCTATGTGTGTTGTAGCAAGCATACTCTGCTTGCCTACTCGAACATCCATACATATGTTGTGTAGATATGAAGATACAATTTATAAGATTGCTGGCGTTCGTCGGTGTGTATTTTGTTTGAATGAATAAGCCTCACTCACAATTGGTTTGTTATGACTTTTGCCAATGCTGCTTGGCTGGCTGGCTGACTGGCTGTTGTTGTTGTCTTGGCTTGGTGGCGGCGTCATTAGCTCTCTTCACACAATGCTCTTGCCGTTTAGCTCTTCTTAATGATTGCCATGTTTATGTGAGTGTTTGTATGGCTTTTGTTGTTGCTGCTGTTGCTGTTTCAATTTGTGTATGGCTTTGCTTATTGTATGCATAGCTAATGCGTATCTTTTAGATACTTAATAAGGTTAAATGGAAATTGCAAGTTTTTTCTTCTGCTGTTGTTTTTGTTGTTGTTTTTTTATGTACATGTAGCAAAAGCTGGTGAGTAAGGTGTTGTTGTTTTGTTTTGCTATTGCTAGGTGGATGTATTACTCTAAAGAAACCAACAACAATATTAGAAATAATGATAACAACAACGCAGCGTTAGTCAACAATAACAACAAGCGGGCAATAAACAACAAATAACCTAGCGTTACTTTTATTTCAAAAATTAAATAAAAATCCTTGCAATGGCTACATATCGGACCAATATTTTAAATAATTTTAAAGCTAAATCCAACTTTTATAGCACCCCTAGGAAATGTAGGGAATATCGGTCCAACTATGGAAATAACTATAGCTTCCGAATGAATAAAATTTAGATGTATTTTAGATCAGTAGAATACAGATATAGCCCATGGTAAAAGAAAACAGGTAGTCGCATCGACACAACACCTGGGACAAATTATAAAATGGTTTAAAAATGCTTATCATAACAACCTCCGATTTACGTTGTATAAGAAAACATAAAGGAATCTATTAATTTTTGAAAAAAAAAAAAGAAGACACATTTTGATACTTTTGACATATTAATATTCCCAAACTTTAAAGCATCTACCTGAATTCTTCAACCATGCTATGTCCCAATATAAAGGCCATCCCGATATTCAGTATTTTAATATTTGTAGCTAAATTTTCATAAAACTATTGTCTACAGGTACCTTGTTATACTCTCCACCTTACATAGTATGGAGGGTATATTAAGTATGTCATTCCGTTTTTAACTCATCGAAATAATGATTTTAGACTCTACAAATTATATATATGCTTAATCTAAGACGTCTGTTGGAATCACGCAAGGGTAGAAACGAATTATGATAGAAAGCTAAAGTTTTTCACAGATCAGTATTTTGCCTCCACGAAGGTCAAGTTCGAAGATGTGCTATATCAGCCCACGACATCGTACACCCAGAGAAAAAATGACAACATCCGTGTATGAAATGACCACATCCGTGTATGATAGTGTATCAACCACGTTTGGTGTCAAAATGAGCACGCTGTTGTCATTTTGACACCGAGATTTTGGCAACGATTTCAACAACAGATGTGCATGAAATGAGCACATACGTGGTCATTTCGAGCACGCCCCGTTGTCAGATTGTCAACGCTTCGTTGTCAGATCGTCAACGCTTCGTTGTCAGATTGTCAACGCTCCGTTGTCGGATTGTCAACGCCCGTTGTCAGATTGAAATCAATGGTGGTCATTTTTTGATATCCGTTCCTTTTCCATTTTATACCCTTAGTAGAAGAAACGACATTTTTTGAAAAGTATTTTATTGAACGAAACCAATTACATAAATTCAATATAAATACATATTTGATTTAACAAAACAATTCGAATTACATATATTCAATGTATAGAAACAAATTAAATTAACTTAAATCTGAAATAAACTTTTCCATTATTCATAGGATATAAGTGAAATGGGTAAGTAATAAAATCTAAAATTGGTATTAAAAAAATTGTATCCTCATTCAGAGAACCAACTTCATACGATTGTAAATGGTAATCAAAGTTTTTAACTTTTACTTGGTTACATAAAATGTAAACATTTTCATTTTCAATTATTAAATGTTTAATTTTGAAAAGTTCAATTGCGGCATTATTTGTTGCTAAATAATAGTTTTTTTTATACCTAGTTCCCTTAAAAAAAATGTCATCAGACACTTTGCAATTTTGGTAATTTAAAACTGGCTTACTTTTTTTGTAACAATATTCCTCTTTTGCCAAATCTTCGATGGTATGCGTATTAATGATAACATTTGGTTCTAAGTTATCTTCGTGTTTTAATAAAAAATTGGAAAATTTCAATCCAGACTTAATAGATAATGAACGACAGGGATTTACTCTTGATGTAGTATTTCCTAAATAGGCTTTTGCTTCCTTGTGTTTAGCTTCGAATCTCATGCTCCAGAGATATTTAAGGGGACCACATTTTCGGATAGCTGTGGGATAGTGGACAAGAAAGTGGTGTTTCGGTTTTAACGAACCGTATAATGTTATATAAAGTGAATGGTGATCTCTAATTAATTCTTCCAATTTTATTAAATCGTCTTCTATATAACTTGGTCTTAAAAGTAAATCGATTATTTGTAATAATATTATAAAAACTTTCCAGTGATCGTTGGAGAAAGGAATTAAATCGCCTACCATTAAAGGTAAAAAATTAGTAAAACACATAGTTTCACTAGCTGTCATTTTTAAGTTATAGTTTTTCAATCTACATAAATCTAGTGGTCCAGATTTATTTCCCACTTCAATTTCTCCAAATTGGAATAAAGATTTTCTGCTGTTAATACAATCTAACGTAACAATATTTTCTTGAATCAGCCCGAGAATTACATTAGACATATCGTAGACACATATGCCCTCGAAAATGTCATGCATAATATCAAAACAAAAATTTTCAGTGACGTTAAAATTTGGTAAAGATTCGAAGATACACTTGTTTTTAATACCTGTTTCTTGAAAATTATTTTCCAATACATTTGAGTTGTAATTCTCTTGGTTTCTTAAACTATCTAAATGCTGAATTGCGTCGAATTGCATTTGGGACTTTTTTCTTCTACATACCCGGCAAAATCTTTTAGAGTTAAATGATTGCACGTAGCCTAAAATACTATTAACTGCTAAATTATCTCCAATAATTACACCTAAAATAAAATGCACCTTCTGAACACTTTGTTGAACACAAATTTCAACCCCTTCTTCTAGAATTTTTAACTCTTCTACAAGATTGTGAAATGAAACTTCATTTCCACGTTCTTTTAAATCCTTTGATGGTATAAACGCAGCAGTTAATATATAATCAAGTTTTGACAACAAGTGCTGTGGCATTGAAGGAAAGCTAATATAACAACCACATATGGAAAATGTATGGGTTCCAAGAGGATTATTAATTTGAAAATCATCCATGTAAAGGACATAGGGAATAACTAAATTGTACTGATATTTTAATAATTTAGTTTTATATAACTCACCGTTTGTAAAATTTTGTAAAACAGGTGAATTTAGGAATTTTTTGGAGTTTTCTAATGTCAAATCTAAGAGATTTGGAATTTTAAAAAGGGCACTTATCATGAATTTCAGTGGCATTATATAAATATTGGATAACTTTGGACCTAAACTGGGATTTCCGCTGATAACAATTTCCGAGACTTGATTGCTAATTACATAAACCTTTGGATCATCATAAAAGTTTAGTTCTTTTAAAATTTTTAAAAGTCTATATTCCGTTCTAGTTTCTTCGAAAGGATTTTTACAAAAGTTTAGTAAGTACCTTAAGTCTTCATAATTTGGATGATCAGTTATATATTTTTCAATTGTACATGAAATGGATGAAAGCAGAATTGAAACAGAATGTTGTATTTCTATAACATGATTTCTAGGCATATAGCTTTGACCATGTAATTGTAAAGACAGATATAAGGTTTTCTTTTTCAAAACATTTAAATCCTTTTCTATTGTATTGTTGTTAATAACAGTTTCACTGTTTGTATAATCATTTTCTTTTGATGATGACATTTCAACTGGCACATTAATGGCTTTAACCATTGGTGGAGCTTTTGTGTGATTCTTGTGAAGTTTTTCTAAATGAATTCTGAATGACGTAAATTTTGTAAATGTTTGCTTACAGTTGTCCTGAACGCATTGTACTTTTAAAAATTTAGTGGACATTAAATGGTCTGTTTTCAAATGAGCTATTAAAAGATTTGCCTTATCAAAATGCTTACGGCAACGAAAGCAAATATACATTTTGAATTGTACTTTAATTATTGTTGCAGAAATTAATAAGTGAAGTCAAATTAACTGATTTTATATCATATACAGTATTAATTTCATAAAAATATTTTTGGATAAAAATCCATGGAATTTGGCAGGCATTTGGATATTTTAAAGAAAGTGCATGAAAAATTTTAAAACATGTATCTAAACATTCGAGGAACGATTGAAATTTTAACAAATTGTGGTTAAAAAAAACATAAAAACCTTTTATATTGAAATCGGACAAACCCTCCACAATTATAAATGGCTGTATAGTTAATCCAGCATTGTAATACTTTTCAGTGACTGTATCAATTTGCCTTTTATAATCGTTAATTGTCGGTAGTCGCAGTACGAAACTTTCCTGCGAATCAGCTATTGTTACTTTTTTTCGTAATTTACCGTTTCCACATTTAAACCTAGCAGGTGATGGTAAAACTGAATTCAACAGTATTGCGTATATATAATCTTGAGCATCTGCAACCGAAATATAAAATAAATATTACTTTTAATGTTTATGATAAATCAGGAATTAAAATTTACCTATGCTGCTTGCCGTCAAAACATTTGCGAAGAGTTGTTTGCAATGTTCGTTATGAATATTTTTCCCATAATAATTGTAAATTTTTTTCTTAAATTGGTCCCATTTAGAAAGTAGAAGATTGCCTTTCTGTGGATACATAATATCGAAATCAATGTTGACCTAAAACGAAACATTAGTATCCATATACAAATAAATAGCTCATGGCTACTTACCAATTCTGAAGCTCTTGCATCGGACAACTTCGTCCATTCAAGGAGAAATGTATGGCTACTTAAATTTTTTATATCTCTTTGCCGTATGTTAAAAGATCTTTTCCATTTTTCGCAGATCGATCCCCAATCATTACATTCTCTTAGTAAGGAAGCTTTCAATGAATTTTCAACTGATTCATCAATTTCGGGAACATCTTTGTTACAAAAATTAGGAGATGTGTGAGTTGCTGCTTTGCTTGTGCTAGGCTCGGAAATCAAAAGCTTTATTCTTTTGGACTTCTTGTTTCTATACTTGGCATAAAGTTTTCCGCTTGCGTTGTTCTTTCCTTTTCTTGAAATGTAATAATAATCCTAAAAATAAAGACATATTATAAGTTAAGAAACTACATAATCAGATACGTTGTTTATATTGTTAATCTTACCCTCATTTCGTTTTCAAGAGGAAAAACGGAACAAATTTCATCCAATATGCGCATATAGTCTTGAGTGTAAAGAGTAACATTGTTGGTTAAAATATCTTCAATAATTATATTAATTATATCATCTCTTTGCTCGTCACTTAATTTCTTATTAACGCTACTACATTCAAGCGCTAGTTTCCCCTTCGAGGTATGTGTTAACAATTCCGTTAGATCCTATATTAAATAAAAAAACTACATTAACTATGCTTACACAAATATTACTCTTACCTTACCTCTGACAAAATTCCTTTGGCTTTTGAGCAGTTCGAACCTGTAGTGTCGGGAGTACCAGGAGTACTTGCAGGTGTCTCGTTGCGTTTCCACCATTCACCTATTTTAGATGGAACTGACATAGTTTCGTCATCAATCCCGAGCTATTGTTATGACAATATTAATACTGAGTTCAACTCTGTAAAACAAATAATACGTACCTTTCGTTTTTTCCAAGCAAAGAGCTTTTCTCTGAATTCAACACGCAGTCCCAATGGTGGCACTGCTTCCTTTAAATCTTCTTTTTTCAAGTACTGCAAGCTGCGAAATGTTACATGTGATGCTAAAAGAACAAAAAAGAAAATTCTTTGTTAATTACACTGATTAACTGAAAAATTCATTTTTATTTACTTACCTTTTAATTGTTCAAAAAGCGACTCCATATTTATTCCTTTTAAGAACTCCCTTAACATATAATCGTCCTCATTGTTTTCCGCATCTTGACTGCTGCAATGGTTTGTATCGCGAACCACAACAATATTGCCATCGATTTCTAACAACTCACCAATGATATTTTGAGGATCTTGCGAATTATTATTCATTTTCAATAAATTTTTTGCACAATGCGTCCTTTCTCTTTCAATAACACGGAAAAAATGGTAAATATGCAGCCGATTGCACACGAGTAAAAAAAATGACAACGGTGGTGCATGATTCATACACGGTAGTTGCTAAAATGGCAACGATCGTGTACGATTCATGCACGTCGGTGTACAAAGTAACAACGGTGGTGCATCATTATGCAGGTGGTGGTGCATAATTCATACACGACCGGTGTCATATTGACAACGACCGTGTGTGAATCATGCACCACCGTTGTCATTTTTTACTCGTGTGTAATCGGCTGCAATTACCAATATTACAAATGGACAAATTAAGCACGGCTGTTGTTGGTACCGAAAGTTGACCACGTCTCGGTGTCAATTTGAGCACGTTCGTGCACAATTCACCAACAGCCGTTGTTGAAAAATATAACAACGGGTCGTTGCGAAAATGACAACATACGTGCTTGATTTCGCAACGGGATTTTTCCCTCAGTGTATAGTCCCCATATAACAGTACCTCCCGATATTCGGTATTTTGATGATTATTGCCATATTTTTCAATGAATTTGTCTGATATCCGATATGTGAAGTTTTTAATAGGCACTAATGAATCGGACCAAGAAGGCCTACTATTACCTATAGCCCCCATAATACTTTCCCCGCAGATATACGCTCTTTTAGTGGTTGTAGCCATATTTATACCTTACACCACAAAGTGGTCAGGATATTATGTCTTTGTACATTTGTTAGCAACAGGTAAAAGGAAACGAGATAGACCCATAGTTCCTTTGGATGATCTGCATAAAATCACATTCTGATTCGATTTATACATATTCGTCCCTCTGTTCGTTTTTGTAAACAACGAACAGGTTGCAATTATTTTCCGATCCAGATGAAATTTTGCAAATGTCATTTATTGGCCCAAGAACGAACCCTACCGATATTGGAGATAATCGTCCGATTTGTCTTTTGTTGTGCACCTTTTACACGTTTGGCCCAAACATTATGGAACAGTACGACCAAATTAACCCTGAAAATTAGTACGACAAATTTGATCGAAATCGGTTCAGATATAACTATAGCTCCCATATATATTGTTCATCCGATATGATATGTTTGTCCTCCGCTGCCGTAATATGCACTCTGTAACAACGATATATAGGGAAATACAGCTCAGAAGTACCTTCGGCAAATTTTATCCAGATCGATTCATCGATCGATATTATCGAATATGAAATGATTGGAAAAGTAAAGAAGCGACTTGATCGAAACACGCGTCGCAGTGGCCGAGAAATGGCTCGTGGGCTGAACATATCGCAATATTCCATTCGGCAAATATTGAAAAATGAGCTCGGGGTAATCCATTGACATTCCAGAAAGTGAAATAACTTACACCGCAACAGAAAGAAAATAGACTCAAAAGAGCTAAAGAATTAATTCGCTTGGCCGAAAGTGGCGAACTGCCGAATTTGATTTTCTCCGATGAGAAAATATTCGTTGTGCAGCAGTTTGTAAAAAAAACAAAATGATCGTGTTTACTTGCCTAAGAGGTTAGCTGAAAATGTCCACCTTCGGTGGGCCACCAGAACTCAAGCGCCGGCCATGGTGATGGTGTGAACAGCCATAACAGCCGATGGTTGCTCTCCGTTCGTATTAATCGACCGTGGCATCAGAATAAATGCCGAATATTATCGCGAAAATATTCTTGAGGGTGTATTAAAGCCTTGGGCACGCAAGCATTTTGGCAGCAGATCTTGGACATTCCAACAGGACTCAGCACCATCGCACTCCGCACGCGCCACCCAAGAATGGTTACAAAATGAGGTTCCTCGCTTCATTTCCAGCGCACAATGGCCACAAAAATCTCCAGATACCAATCCTTTGGACTATTGCGTATGGATTATTTTGGAAAGCTAATAAATAATACCAAAGTGTCAATCACACCAAGCAAGCGTTTCGCCGCGAATGTGCCAAAATACCACAGAGCAACATTCGGGCAGCGTGTGACGGTTTCATTGGCCGTTTGAAGGCCGTAATTCTTGCCAAAGTTGACGAATTCGAAAAAATCTAAACTTACTCTAAAATTGATGCTATTTCCGACATTTTTTGCTTTCATTCAATAAAATTAAAAAAAAATAATAAAAATTCCTCAACGTCGGGCTATGCTACCTGTATCACGGTAACGAGCGATGATACGAGACACAAATGAGTTATTCGCATTTAAATGCTAGAGTGCTCTAACGATAGCCTCTTGTGGTTTTCCAGCCAAATATAAAGAAATCACACTATCACGCTTGAATTCCATCACGAATAACTTTTTTTCTGGAAAATTCTCACCAAAATGGTTTTGTACACTTGTAAACAATATAAAGAGCTGTCACTGGAATAATTTTAACAGATGTCGGACGAATGGCTTAGAAATGACAGTAGTCCGAATTTGGTTGCAGTTTTTTCATCTTCATCTCTTTTTCAACATACAGAGAAGTTACAAAAAAAACAGTAGGACATAATATCCTCACCACAGTACTGCTTGGGGTAAACTAATAAGAAGATGGAAGGCTGTGAAAATTTCATACATGCCCTGCTATTAATATAAAGCGCTCTATAAGCTCTGCTCAGGGTAGCTATTCATGTTATAAAAATAATCACATTCTTAGATGACCTTTGTAATGCCGATGACAGTAAGTTATCATTACCTTGTAATGCATAAAATAATGACCTGTGCTCACCAAAGTGCTGTTGGAAGGCTCCAAATTATTTGTTCTTGGCATGGCTGCAACCACTTGACGATTTGGATTGGTCCGGTTCGGTGGTTCACGCTACCTTTTGATCCATAGTTCGGTTTCTGAAATAAGGTTGTAGGTGGCTCGAATCGTGGTTTTGGTTCGGTTCAGCGGTATGTGTAAATACATACATGTCCAGTTCGCTTCGGAACCGGTTTGCAGCCCTGATTCTTGGGCCAAATTATCCATCGCATGTTTAAACTTTGGAAAACAATTTATAAAGTTTTAGTCGGTGTTCCAACAGATATATGCGTCCAGAATTTGACCGTATAATTCCCCTTTGTGGGAATATAATAGATAGAATGGACCATTATATTCCGTTTTCACACTTTATTTAAAATAGAAAAAAAATGGGATATGCTAAATTTTAAGAATACTAGACATTGACTTCCCATTTTAAGAGAGTTATCATTCCTCAACATTTTGACCTTCTGTAAACAAAGGGGATACAAACGGAGGAGTTCACAAATATGGTGAATATTCGCACCTAACCTAAGTCTAATCTAAATGTCATGGAAGATGGACGGAAGATCTCTCAAAATTTAGGGAAGATGTGTCCCGAAATGTCCCTCTGAGAACTCGAATTAATTTTGATAAAAATGCTACGATAAGACAAGAGTTTCGAGCGTTATCGAGCACACAGACAAAGGGTCGAAAAGTCGAACATGGCTAGATCGACTCCAAATATCCTAAAACGGATTTCATCCAAACAGACCTAGGGTCTTAAATCTATATTTAGGCCGTGCCAAAATGTCTTTAGGTCTATGTTTAAGACCTTGGGAGAACATATGTTTGATTCTCAGATTTTACCGGCATTACCTGTAAATTATGTTTCCATTTTATTATTAACGAAATGTTAATATAAATGAATTTTACTGTTTTCATATCATTTTTTTTACTTTTCATTTTTTATTTAAACCTGTTTTGTTTTATTAGATGTTTTTTCTTTTCATAAAAACGCTGGCTATCTGGCTGGCTCAATGCCTGAGTGACTGGCTGGCGCTGTTATTTTCATTTTTTGTCTCTGTTGCTAATAGCATTGTTTTTGTCGTTGTTGTTGTTTCGATCTAAGTATGTCGTATCTGTTGTATTGTCCATGGCGGTAAGTGCTATCATGTTGTTTTATGTCATTCCTTGGCCGCTTGTCTTGTTGACGTTGCCTTCTAGTGTGCATTTCTTTTCTTTTATGTTTACGGCAAGGCAGGCATGTGAGCGAGCAGCGACTGGCTGCTTAGAAAACTATTACAATTTTTGTTTTCTTTTTTGTGTGATTTTTTGTTGTTGTCTGTTGCCAAGCAATTGGATGCAAGTAATCTTTGAAAATATTTTGTGGGGATTTGATTTGTGGGATTTCCCATCTCTCTCTCTCCACTCTCCAAAGAAATCCCCCCAAAGGAGAATGCAGACAAATTCAAACGCCATAAACTACTCTATCCCTCCCCCTATCCTCAGAAAAACTCTTTGTCGAACAAAAATCTTTGAAAAACTTTTCTCCTCCACAAGTTTGTCTAAAATTTTTGGTGTGTCTTTGCCTTGCTCGTTTTTTTTTTGGAACGTTTTCTTCTTCTTTGTTGTTTGTCATCATCATCGTCATCTTCCTCTTCAGTTTTGTCTTATTAAAACATTATCATCAATGTCTTCTATGGTCATTATTATTTTAGGTTCGAGTTGTATCTAGATACATCTATCTTTGTACTGTATCTTCGTCTGTATGTACGTACGGATGAATGACTGAATGAATGAACAAACGAATTTGGAATTTGTATAACGATATAATTTTATTTTATTTGTACATTTTTCTCCTTCATTTTTCTCGTTGTTGTTGTTGTTGTTGCTGCTGCTGCTCATTCGAAATGTACCAAACATGTTCACACAATAAATAACTTCCGGCAGTTGTTTGTTATGGATATTTTTATTCCTTGTTTTTATATTTTGTTTTTGTGTGTGTGTTTTTTTATTCTCTCCTCTTTGCAACTTCGAACAAAAAAATCCGCTCATAATGCAATAATAGTCATATTTAGTTAATACACATATCAAAGTTTGTTTTATTAATTGCCCACTTTTTTGTGAATGTTTTGTTGTTAATTAAGTTTTGCAAACACAGAAACACACACACTCACGTACATAAACACATATTGTGAAGTTAATGCGAACTCAAATGTATTTAGGGTATTTTGTAATGATGGATTGAGGGGTTGGCTGCTCGGTTGGTTGGATGGATGGTAAAATATTTTATTGTGAATTGTTTACAGTTTGGAAAATACACTTGGGAAGACTGTGTCGAAACCATAGAGGTGTGTTCGCTTAATTTTGATAATGTTGCAATAGATTTTGATACACTTTTTAAACCGATAAAAAATAATATTTTCAAGCAAAATTCTCTAAAAATATTTAATTTAGAAGGGGTCCTGAAATCGACTAATTTCATGATAATCTTTTTAGAAATAAGTTCTAAAACATTAAAATACTGAATAGTGGAAAATACTATTAGGTGAGGGGATACTATATGAACCATTATATGGACAGGGAAGACCATTTGTGTAAGTACCTCTATCAATAAAAGACTAAACATATTCATAGAACATAGTTATAACCAATAAAGACCTAATCTTATTATGTCCAGAGAAGTTACAAAAATATATTTTATCCACATAAGTTCTCTGAAATATCCATTCGATACAGAGACAGATTTTATATTTTGGTGAACGGT